GCATCCACAGAAAACTAAGCAACCAGAGTAAATGATTATTTCCTCTTAATTCATTTATTTTTCTTACATTTCATGTCATAAAAAACACATAAATCATTTTATTGTTATATCTTTCTCCGAATTTCAATCCACTGTTATCAGTAATGATTTAAAGTATGCTTAATCAAATAGCATTTATAATATATTATGCCTCATCAAAAATTCTGACATAAATCAAAAGGAGACTATTACCCTTAATGATTTATACAAAGAACTATCATAGTATTCTATACATTCAAAAGTGGGTTCTTGGGCTTCCCTGGTGGCGCAGTGGTTGAGAGTCTGCCTGCCGGTGCGGGGGACACGGGTTTGTGCCCCGGTCCGGGAAGATCGCACATGCCGCGGAGCGGTTGGGCCCGTGAGCCATGGCCGCTGAGCCTGCGCGTCTGGAGTCTGTGCTCCGCAACGGGAGAGGCCACAACAGTGAGAGGCCCGCGTACCAGAAAAAAAAAAAAAAAGTGGGTTCTTCAAAAAATTAAAAATAGAACTAACATATGATCCAGCAATTCCACTCCTAGATATTTACCCAAAGAAAATGAAAATACTAACTAGAAAACATGTGTGCACCCCTATATTCATTGCAGCATTATTTGCAATAGCCAAGATGGGGAAGGAATCTAAGTGCCAATCAATACATGAATGGCTAAAGAAGATGTGATTGATATATATATATATATATGAAATAGGTGAGGGAGATTAAGAGGTACAAACTTCCAGTTGCAAAATAAATGATTCACAGGTATGAAATGTACAATGTGGGGAATATAGTCAATAACTATGTAATATCTTTGTATGGTGACATAAATAGACTTATTGTGGTGACTACTTTGGAATGTATAGAAATATTAAATCACTATATTGTGTAGCAGGAACTAACATAGCTCTGTAGACCAATTACACTTCAAAAACAAACCAAAAATTGTGGACAAAATTAAGTTATGCATTTTCTCTTAAGTAAACATCTGAACCTATTTGGTCTCTTGATTGGGAGTCCATCTTGCCAAAGATAACTTAAGAAGTAGGAGGGCTGAGAAATAAAGGTGTAAATTTATTAATTCTTGTTAATATCTGTACCTATTCCAAGTTCTTTTTTGGAAAAAAAAAAGGTGCTTTTAAGACCATAGAAAATTCGGGTTCCCACCTCCATTTTTTTTCATAGAGTTTAAAGTCTATAGTGGAAGATATTCTACAGTGCAGCATGCATTTTAAACACTTTATGTTATAAAATACCATAAAATAGTCTGTGAACTTCACTGGAGCACCCATTATGTGCTTCCTTTAGATCCCAGCACAGTGCCTGGAACGTAGTGGTGCTCAATAAAATTCTGTTGGCTAAACTGATCAATGCCTTCTTCAAAGAAGTCTTCCTTGAGATTCCATCTTATACTACAAACAAGAGCAATCCATTTCCATCATACATATGTTGCATCCTACTGTATTGTGGAGTCTGCATTTGCTTGTGTGTATTTTGGGGAGGGGATGGGGAAGAGTCTTATTTCCATGAATAAATTATAATGCCATTAGGCATAATAACTGTATATATGTAATTTATTTAGTTAACACATGGACTTTATATAGCTCTGTATATAAACAGCTAGCCTAGCTCATTAAACAGTTTTTCCCCAGTGAATAAAAACAGAATGAACCATTTGCTTTGGAGGTACCTAGTATCCTCTTTCTGTACTGTCTTCCTCTCTGATGTTATTACTTTTCTGCCTGGGTATCTTTATCTAATGCTCTATTCCCCTGCCTATTAACAGGAAAAAAATTCTCATCAATCATTTATCCTTAAACATAAATTGGTTTTCCCAGGTATTTGCAATTTAATCCTTTAGTCATTATTGGGAATGAAAATCTTAGATTCCTCTATGGAGATTTCTGGTTAAAGAAATGCAGAAGATTGACAGAAAGGGTAAAAACCATTTATTTATATCCTACATTTTACTAGGCTGGTGGGCATCATGCCAGCTTGGGATCACATTCTGCCATTAAGATAATTAGATAAGCAGATGCTATACCTCCTTCACCACTCTGACCTCCATGTAAATACATGCACACAAACCCTTCAGCAAACTTAAAATCTTCAGAGATGGGACTGAACATATGTACATTTTTTTAAAAATTACAATGATATACTCTCAATGTTGAGAATTACTGTACTAGGCCCTTTTGTATGGTATTTTATTTAATCTCAAAATAACCCTATGAGGGAAGTACTACCATTTTATAGATAAGGAAATTGAGACTTAGGGAAGCTAAGTATCTTGCTCAAGGCCACAAGACTATTTGCCAGAGAGCTGGAATTTGATTCCAGTTCAGTAGGACTTCAAACTCACTCCCTTTTCAATATTATTGCCACTAAAACCTGATGCCACTAAAAAGAAACTGATCCTACAAATAACACCCTTCTAGTCAATGGATGGTTAATGACCGGTATGGGTCTATCAGTCAAGGTCCCAGAAGAAAGAGAAGGCATATCCAGTTGAGTAATTTGAGCACAGTTGAATATTGTCAGTTTGTAACAGTGTAGGCAATACCTTCATGCCAGTTACAGTGGAAATGGTTGATACCTGTAGGCCTGAAGATGTGAGCCTAGTTTAATGGAATCCAGAAAGAGGGGTGGCAGAGGGAGGGGGGGAAGGTGAGAGAAGTGGAGAGAGCTGCCAGACAGGGCTGTGCCTTTTGGTCCAAAGATGAAACCAGATCACAGAAATCCTGGGGGTGAGGTCAGGTAGCGCATGATCTTGCCAGTCTTTATCGCTGGCTGAATCCAACTGAAAACTGCAAGGCAGGGGAGCCTAAGGACATGGTTTGTGCCCATATCAGCCACTAAAGACAGTGGACGGTACAGAATGGATGTGGGTAAGTCAGCAAGGAGTATTAGGAAGTGTATCTTCTCCACCCCCATCCCTCAGATTCACCCCCTTTCTCTCTTACCATAAATGAAAATGGCAGAGACTTAAAGGAAACAACTGTTTGTGTCTGTTTTCTTTAATCCATGGTTGCAAATGCTTCTGAAATGTATTAGTGCACTTTCTTACTAAGCTTTCATAAGCATCTGCATTTGTTCTGCTTTTACTGTATTGTGGACAAAGGAAGTATGAAATATTGGTTAACACCGTCTCTCAAATAAGTACACATTCTTTAAAGCTTTTTGGATTTTTTGTATGTTTTTGGTTAGGTTAATTCAGATATAGTTTACATACAGAAAAACCCATCCATTTTAGTTCTGCAATTCTGTGTTTTCACAAATGTGTACAGTCCTGTATTTAACTCTACAGTCAAGATATAGAATATTTTCATCACTCCAAAAGGTTCTAAAGCTTTTAAAAATCTTTAATCCCACTCAAATAAATGTCTGGTATCAATGTTTTTTTCTTCTGATTTTAAATAGGAAAATTGGTGATAACATCCAACAGTGGGTAGTACTTAGTAAGTGCTATTATGAAAAGTATTTTTGTTGGTTTGTTTCCCCACCTTCTGACTTATATAAACTATTCATATTGGTTATTAACTCAATTCATGTATGTTAGACTGAGGAAAGGCTCATAATCTTGACTGCATGTTGAAATCATCTGAATTTATTAAATGACCGGATGGTCACGTAGCATTTCATTAAAGCAGGATGTCTGGGGTTAAGACCAAGGCATCAATAATCTAAGCTTTCCAAGTAATTCCACATGTGGCTAAAGTTGAAACCTCTGAATTAGATCAGTTGTTCTCAATTCTGGCTGCACAGCAGAATCCCCTAGGCAATTGCTTAAAATATTGATGCTTTTCCCTTCAATTCTGATTTATATAACTTGTTCATAAAAGTTGACTACAAGAAAAAAATAAGATTTGGGTAACTTATATTTCTGAATGGTTGGGCTCCAGTTAAATCAAGGTTTTATTATAGTTCTGGGTATGTGGTGGTATTCAATAAATGTTAGATGGAGGTCCTAATCCCACAGCAGAGTCAAAGAGAATAATATATGCTCCCTCTTGGAAATAAACTGTTTGTGTATTTGAAATAATTGTCTTGGCAAACTATCACTTTCTGAAAATTGTCCTCCTAGGTAATTTACCTCAAATGGTAAGCCTTTTAATTTAAGAGAATACTATATTTCAACCCTATTTTTCAGCATAATATTAGGCACATATATATTTTACATCACTTTCATAATTCTCTCCAAGGAAATAGGAAGCAAGATTAAGAGATGGAGGATAAGATTTAAACCAGCCTCTCTCTTAGAAGCACAAATGATGCTATTGGACTTCTGGGCCTGGAGAATGCTGCTACTTTGTAAAATAGAGCAATGGTACTTGCTGCTTTTTTTTTTTTTTTTTAGCGATACGCGGGCCTCTCACTGTTGTGGCCTCTCCCGTTGCGGAGCACAGGCTCCGGACGCGCAGGCTCAGCGGCCATGGCTCACGGGCCCAGCTGCTCCGCGGCATGTGCGATCTTCCCGGACCGGGGCACAAACCCGTGTTCCCTGCATCGGCAGGCGGACTCTAAACCACTGCGCCACCAGGGAAGCCCACTTTCTGCTTTTATAATGGTGAAATATATATGCAAAGGACAACTAATGCCATTCGCTAAAACAGAACTGAACTGTCTAGTGAAATAGTTATGGGACTAGCAAAATATTTATATATGATATCTTTTTCAGACTTCAGGAACTAGTAACTGAAATAACAAAAATCTCTTTTGGCATAAAGTTACTGAAAATCTTTTATAGCATAAATGCTCATCCAGCAAACCTCCCGAATTTTATTGTTATAAATAATTAATCACCATGTTGCATGTTTCAATATACATTAACAACACCAGGTGTTGTATTTAATCCTTCAAATATAAACTAGTGCAACAAACGGCATTTTTCTTAAATGTTCTTGGTTTAATATAAAAAATACAAAGCTTGCTTAATTTGACCTTCGCACTTCTTACTCAGTTTTCCTACTCCTTTTTTCCTTTTTAGGACCATCTCAGAAAATAGTGTCACCTAAACAAGAGCATGAAGATAGGAAACATGACAAAGTCACAGATAAAGGAAGTGAGAGTGGGACTTCCTGTAATGAGCTCTCCACTTCCAGTTGTGACAGCCACTCAGAGGCAAGCACTCCCCAGGACAACCCACCCAGTGCCCAGCAGGCGACAGCTCACCAACCTAACACCTTAACATTGGATCGTCCTTCCAAAAAAGCACCTGTGCAATGGATGCCCCCACCAGACAAACGCAGAAACAGTGAACTCTTTCAGACACTCATCAGCAAATCCCGGGAAACCAATCTTTCCAAAAAGAAAGTCTGTGAGAAGCTAAGTGTGGAAGAAGAAATGAAAAAGTGTATTCAGGATTTTAAAAAAATCCACATTCCAGATTACTTTCCAGAGCGCAAACGCCAGTGGCAGTCTGAACTGTTACAGAAGTATGGGTTATAGTAATTATCACATTCCTGCAGTATTTCAATGACGTTCAGTGTTTACTACGGTGTCACCACCTGACCGTGTACTAACAATGGTCAGTGTGATTCTTGCTGCTCTTCCTTTTTGTGAACAGTGGATGTGGGACAGTATTTTCTTTCATTCTTTTTGTTGTTGTTGTTGTTGTTAGAAATACGATTTTTAAAAAAGAAAACTCGTACGTGTTGAATCAGATGGTGTTCCTGATTCAAACCGTTTTGCAAGAATGAAAGCAAAATGTGCATGACCAAGAAGCTTAGAATCTTGATTTTTGAACTGTGGTCATGTTTGTCATTTTGTAACTCACCAAAAACAAAATCATCATATCACTCCAAGTAAAGTGACAATATGGATGAAGCCACATCAAGTAAAATGTTAGATCACGGTTTGGGGACCCAAATCCAAAACTGTTTAAATGTTAATGCAATAAAACAAGTATTATGTTTGCATGAGCACAATGTTACAAATAATTCACAAGACGTAGGGAAGATTTGTTTGCTGCTTGGAAAGAAAAAATTATGAAAAAATAGCAAAAAAAAAAAAAAAAAGAAAGGTTCAGGCAAAGCCTATAAATGTAAGCTGTCTAGGAGATTGAATCTTATTTGTTCTGGATCTGTGATTTTTTTGTGTATGTGTATGGTGTTCTGTATGTATGTTAAGATGATGTAAATATGCCTTATAATCTTGTGTTATGACACTGACATTCATCTATTAATGCTAGTCATGGTTATTTCTGTGAAATGAGTCCTTACATCAGGCTGTGAAAATTGGTATAATGATGCTCTGAAAGATCTGACTATAATGTTAATCAAAATAATTGAGGGAAATGGTAAAGAGCTTTATGTATTTGTTTAAAAAAAGGAAAATATATTAGAATTCCTTGATCTCTATTGACTCTTCTTTTAAAATATTCAGTTGTTATATTGTCTTCAATTTTCCTTTAAAATCCCAAACTGGAGAATGATATGTTCAACCTTAATGTTGACAAGCTAGAGACTTGCTTCCAGGACATGGAAGCAAACTAAATGTCCATCGACAGATGAATGGATAAAGAAGATGTGGTACATATATACAATGGACTATTAGCCATCCAAAGGAATGAAATTGGGTCATTTGTAGAAATGTGGATGGACCTAGAGTCTGTCCTACAGAGTGAAGTGAGTCAGAAAGAGAAAAACAAATGTCGTATATTAATGCATACATGGGAATCTAAAATAATGGTACAGATGAACCTATTTGCAGGGCAGGAATAAAGATGCAGACATAGAGAACGGACATGCGGACATGGTGGGAAGGGGAGGGTGGGATGAACTGGGAGATTAGGATTGACATATATACACTACCATGTGTAAAATAGATAGCTAGTGGGAACCTGCTGTATAGCACAGGGAGCTCAGCTCCGTGCTCTGAGATGAACTAGATGGGCGGGATTGGGGGGGCGGTTTAGGAGGGAGATCCAAGAGGGAGGGGATATATGTAAAATATAGCTGATTCACCTCATTGTACAGCAGAAACTAAACATTGTAAAGTAATTATACTCCAATTTAAAAAAAAAAAGATTAGGAAAAAAAAGAGCTATGTCTACTAAGGAGTCAGAATCACTTCCAAAGATACCTCCCAAAACAAAGAGAGAGGGGAGAAATTATCCTACCTTCCCACATTCCAATTCCCCACGAACACTTTCCATTGTCCCAATATACGTAGAAGCAGTTCGCAAAGGAGCCTAGGAAAATTAATTTAATAGAGATGATCCCCCTGTGATACAAAGCCTAGCAGTGCAAGGCAGGGAATAGATCTGAAGAACACTTCACATCCTACTCTATTTTTTCCCAACACAAAACTTCAAATAGAATTGCAATGGTAAGAATTTGTCTATTAGTCTATTGAGCACTTACCATACACCAAACATTTGGCTCAAAGGTTAACAACATATTCAAGAAATACAAATTACTAGCTATTGCCCTTGGGAAGAAGCTTATGGTCTGATTCTCCCAAATCATTACACATTCACCAGAGGCTAGATCATGGCTGGTCCCAAATGGGTTTACCATAGAATCGAGGGAGGAAGCTAGAATGAGGACTCTTCCCTGAAGAAAAGGAGACTCCGAAATTTAAAGATGAGTTAGACTAAAACTGCTGTATAAAACTTCTTTTCCAAAGAATCAGGAGATAAAATCTGGCGGATCACCGTAAGTCCAAAGAGCTGGAAAGTCATTGAAGTTCAGTATTTTTGGAGAATACCTTTTGTTTGATATACAGTATTTACTTAACTTGTGACCTGGTGTTTTATTATTAGTTCAAGTGGAAACATAAATTGAGTACTAACTAAGATGAGAAAAGGAAACAAAAGTGAAATTGTGAGATTTTCAATTTTGGAAAAATGGAGTAGATATACTTTTCCTTATTTCTCCCACTAAGTATAACTGAAAACCCTGGACATTATATACAAACACACTTAAGAGGCTCTGAAAGGCTCATAAAAGAAGGAAAGCTGGCTAGAAGCATTGGGATCAAAAAACAGCATGGTGACGGAATTTCTTGGGTTTTCTTTTTGTCTATACATCGCTGAAGCTGGTAACACAGCAATACTAACAGGTGCAGAAGAAGCAAGGCCCAACAAAATCCTGCTCTCTCTAGCCAAAGGACCAGGAAAGGTGCAACTTAGCAAGACAGAAAACATTTATAGAACAGCTGCTGTGCTGTGTCAGGTTGCAGGTAGGTAGACACAATTGTATTGCATAGTCATTTTAAGGCTTCCTACTTTTTTTAAAGAACTTAGCAATTTTAGTTTCACAGCAAAATTGAGAGGAAGGTACTGAAATTTCCCGTGTACCCCTTACCCTCCAATAGGCACAGCCTCCTCCATTATCAACATCCCCCATCAGAATTGTACATGGTTATAATTGATGAACCTACACTGATGCATCGTTATCACCCAAAGTCCATAGTTTACATTATTGTTCACGCTTAGTATTTTACATTCTGGGGGTTTGGATAAATGCATAATGACACATACCCATCGTTATAGTATCACACAGAGTACTTTCACTGCCCCCCTAATCATCTGTGCTCTGTTTATTCATTCCTCACTTCCCCCAACCACTGGCCGCTGCTGTTCTTTTTACTGTCTGCATAGGGTTGTCTTTTTCAGAATGTTATATAATTGGAATCATACAGTACATAGCATTTCCAGATTTGGCTTCTTTCACTTAGTAATAGGCATTTAAGGTTCCTGCATGTCTTTTCATGGCTTGATAGCTCTTTTTTTTTTTAGTGCTGAATAATATTCCACTGTCTGGATTTACCACAGTTTATCCATTCACCTACTGAAGGACAACTTGGTTCCTTCCAATCCTTCCAAGTTATGGCAGCTATGAATAAAGCTGCTATAAACATCCATATATAGATTTTTGTTTGGATGTAGTTTGCAACTCCTTTGGGTATATACCAAAGAGTGTGATTACTAGATCATGTGGTAAGTGGATATTTAGTTTCGTAAAGAACTGCCAGACTGTCTTCCAAAGTGGCTATACCATTTTGCATTCCCACCAGCAATGAATGAGAGTCCTTGTTCCTTCACATCTTCATCAGCATTTGGTATTGTCAATGTTCCAGATTTGGGCCATTCTAATTGGTTTGTAGTAGTATCTCATCATTTTAATTCACACTTCCCTGATGATGCATAATGTGGAGCATCTTTTCATATGTTTTTCTCCCACCTCTATGTCTTCTTTGGTGAGATGCCTGTTAATGTCTTTGACCCATTTTTTAATCCAGTTATTTGTTTTCTTATTGTTAAATTTTAAGCATTCTTTATGTATTTTGCATAACAGTCATTCATCTGATATTTCTTTTGCAAACGTTTTCTCCTAGTCTGTAGCTTGTTTTCTCATTCTCTTGACATTGTCTTTCACAGGTAGAAGGTTTTAATTTCATCAAGTCTGGCTTACCAGTTATTTCTTTCATGGATTGCGTTTTTGGTGTTATATTTAAAAAGTCATTGTCATACCCAAGATTTCTCCTGTGTTATCTTCTAGGAGATTTATAGTTTTGCATTCTCCATTCAGGTCTGTGATCAATTTTGAATTAATTTTTGTGATGGGTGTAAGGTCTGTGTTCAGATTCATTTTTCGCATGTGGACATCCAGTTGTTTTAAAACCATTTGCTCCACTGTGTTGCCTTTTCTTCTTTGTCAGAGATCAGCTGACTATATTTATATGGGTCTATTTGGGGGATCTCTATTTTGTTTAATTGATCTATTTGTCTTTTTTTTTTTTTTTTTAACAATACCACATTTTCCTCATTACTGTAGCTTTATGGTAAGTCTGGAAGTTGGATCACATCAGTCCTCTAACTTTGTTCTTCTCTCCATATTGTGTTGGCTATTTTGAGTCTTTTCTCTCTTTATATAAACTTTAGAAACAGTTTGTTGATATCCACAAAAAAACTTGCTGGGATTTTTATTGGGATTGCATTGAATCTACAGAACAAGTTGAGAAGAACTGATATCTTGACAATGTAGACTCTTCCTATCCATGGGCATGAAATATCTCTCCATTTATTTTGTTCTTATTTGATTCAGTTCATCAGAGTTTTGTAGTTTTCCTCATACAGAGCTTGTACATATTCTGTTAGATTTATACCTAAGCTTTTCATTTTAGGGAGTGCTAATGTTAATGGTAGTGTGTTTTTAATTTCAAATTCCCCTGTTCATTGATAGTATATCAAAGTCCCCCACTTTTTGAAAATAAAATCCAAAAACTTTAGTATCACATTATAGGCCCTCAATACAGTGGCTTCATATCAATTTACCTTTGTGTGACAATAGACAACTTCCAAAACTTAGTGGCTTAAAAAAACAACAACCATTTATCAGCTCATGATTCTGAGGATCGGCATTCTGGACTGCTCTCACCTGGGCTTACTCATCTGGACAATCTACTGATAATTTGTCAGTGGTCAAATAAACTATAATGGTCTCACTCCACATTTGGCATTGACAGGTTTCAATCAAGACTCAAGTCTCTACATATCCTTTCCAGATATCTGACTGAGATTTGTTCACACTTGGTTGTTCCAAGAATGTAAGACAGGAGGTTGCAAGGATCTCGAGGCCTGGCTCCAAACTCATACAACATCACTTACCCTGTATTCTTTTGGTCAAAGCAAGTCATTTCAAATTCAAGGGATATGGAAATACACTATACCTCTTAATGGGAGGAGCAACAAAGGATTTGTGGCCATTTGTAATCTACTATAGAACCAATCCATCCTTTGCAGATTCACAACCAGAAGCAAACTGCACACCAGTTACTAGTGACTTGCTAAGACTCTACTGCACCCGGAAGTCACCATACCCCACAAAATGCACACAAACTTCTTCATTCACATTTGAAATGTTTCCCATACTGCATGTTTCAGTTCAACTACCACCTACTTTCCAAAGCTTTCTTTAATCCTTAAGGACAGAATTATTAATCATTCCATTCTCAGAAATATCAGAGCACTTTAAAAACATCCTCTTTTGCTCTACATATTATTTATGTTCTATAGTATATAAGAGTAATGATATACATTTGTATTTTCCATTGTTCTGAAGTATTTTTCATATACGTTAAGCTCTTACTTTTCTTTGTATGAGGGGACACAATTAAGTAGACAGCTTCTGGCACACAGTAGGTATGAATGATTTTGGCAAACAAGTAAACATCCTTTTCAATGTAAGAATTTCCTTAACAGTCCTTGGTAGGTACTCTTCCTGCCTCACTAGGCTTGCTAAAAGCTATTTTACAATGTTTTCAGGCCAAATCCCACTCATTGGTCCTACATTCCTAATCTCTCATGAGAGATGAATCAAAAGACTATTTTTTTAAATATTTCATAGTTTGTTCCAATTTGGATGAATGTGATTCAAGCATCTCTTGCTAGAGATGCAATCACCAGGCCTTAAAATTATGTCTTCTCCTCCACAGTGTTTACCTTTGTTTGCCATAAACGTAACCTGTGACCTTGTATATTAGTGTTTTTAGTACAGATTAGTTAAGCAAATATTAC